AGCTATTGGCACACCAATGAGTCCTTCAACAAGTCTCGACAAAGATGAACAGAGAATTACTATTGATCAAACTAAGTATCGTGGAATGATTGGTTCACTTCTTTATCTAACTGCTAGTCAACCGGATATTATGTTTAGAGCCTGTAAAGGTGCCAGGTTTCAGCCAGATCCTAAGGAATCACATCTGACTGCAGTAAAGAGAGTTATTCGATATCTCACTGGAACTATCTCTCACGGATTATGGTATCCACGATCTAACAATTTGAAATTAGAAAGTTTTCAGATGTTGATCTTGCAGATGATAAGGAAGACAGAAAAAGCACCAATGGGACATGCTAATTACTTGGAAAGGCACTGATATCTTGGAACAGTAAAAAGCAAGGATCAGTCGCATTATCCACACCTGATGCTGAGTATATCACCATTGGACAATGTTGTGCACAATTACTATGGATGTCTCATCAATTGGGTGACTATGAATTATTCTTCAAACCCATTCCAATTTTTTGTGATAACTCTAGTGTTATATGTCTCTCCAAAAATCCTGTGCATCATTCTAGGGCAAAGCATATAGACATCAAACATCATTTTATTAGAGATCATGTTCTTAAGGGAAATATAGAACTATCTTTTGTTGGAACTACAGATCAATTAGCGGATATCTTTACTAAGCCATTACTAGAGGACAGATTTTGTTTTTTAAGAGAATTACTTGGTATTGTTTGCATTAATCATTAAATATTAGGACCTATGTGTTACTATTACTTTTTGTATGCCTAATGTTCAAACTTTGTTGCTTTTTTTTTTATCATTAATTGCGCCTCCGAATTCTCTCTCCTTTCCTCTCTTCTCACATCAGTTACAGAGTTCAAAGAAGGAAAACTAATCATCACGTCTGTTCAACTGACACCCCTTCCTTTCCTGTACTCAACCGTCAAAAACCTTTCTTTTAATACCTGAAAACCCTTTTCAGTCTCCATCGTCCCCATCGCCTAGAAACCCTCTCCAAAACCTTCTCTCACCAAAAGCTCTTCCATGGCCAAACACTCAAAAAATCCTTCTGCTTCTACCAGGAAGAGTACTCGCTCCAGAACAAAACCTCCATCTCAACCTCCAGAACAAGTAGACCTAGCGTCCGACCATTCGGAAGGTTTTGCCTCCTCTCAGGTGGACCTCTCAGATCATTCTCATACTTTAGGAGAAAAAGCCCTGGGAAAAAGACCTATGGAAGAACCCCCTGAATCCTTTACTCCAAAGAAGTCGAAAATAGATCTCTCTAGTTCTTTAAAGTCTGACCTAAATTTTTGGGATTCTCCAAATAGGGATTTTTTTCATTGCTTTGAAAGACAAGCCAATTGCTCATGGGAGGGTAGTCGACCTTGATGACATGAAAACCCTAAATTGTAAGGTAAAAAGATTTGTTTGTTCATCAGGGTTGGTCTAAATTTTTCTGTTGCCCCTCCTAAAGTCTATGAACCCCTAGTGAAAATGTTTTATGCGAATTTTCGCTCCAATAAGTCTGATAAGTTGGAATCCTTAGTGTTAGGGAAGCGCATTGTTCTTGATTGTGCCATGTTTCATTCAATTTTCCAGTGTAAGTGTTCTGGTTTTCCCATGCTTTTCAAAAATTCCTGGCCTGATGATTTTGAAATCACTTTTGATCAAGCAAAACGGTGTATTGCTGAGTGTCCATCTAAATCTCTCCCAAACCAGTTAGGTCCAAGTGATGTTAGCTTTGAAACTCGTGTTCTAGCCCACATTATTGCAACTACTCTGCTTCCTCAAACTGGATCTTTCTCCACCTTCTCTCAAAGAGATACCTTTCTTGTCTATTGCCTTGTGACAAAACTCAAGATCAAACTATCCTCCTTGGTCATCAATTTTATGATTGAAAGTGCTGATTATCCCACCAGTCTGCCTTATGGCATGGCCATCACTCACATTCTGGAAGCTCATAATATTTCCATCTCTGAATATCCCTTCATCTCTGTTTCAAAATCTTACTATTCCAGAGCATTTGCAAGTATGGGGTATATGTGTGAAGGGCTCATGGGTTAAGAAACAAGGAGGTGAGGTCAAACATGCTCAACTTGATCCAAAATCCAAACCCTCTGTTTCCCATCATAGTCCCAGTGTCCCTGACCTTGCTGAGAAACTAGTTGCCATTGACAATCAGCTGTCCGCCATCAAAGATCTTCTTACTGCTACTCAGCCCACTGTTGGAGATATTCATGCAATCTCAAAAGAGACAGGGTCTAATGTTTCAAAGATAAGAGTTGCAGTTCTCAGAGTTAGGGAAAACGCAGTCAAGGCATTCAAGGAGGTACACGACAGGCTTGATGGAGTGACTGTCTCAGCCAATGTCAGCTTTGATCAACTGAAGGAGGCGATTTGCAACACTCTCACTTATTTCTTGCGCCGTTAATGTGGAAGTTTAAGACAATATTTTTTTGTTGTGCTGTTTTGGACTGGATAACCAGTCACTGGATGACTCTTTTGCTTTTGTTTGTGCTGTTTAGACAATATGTTTCGTTTTGCCATAACCAGTATTTTGGATAGCGTGCGGCGACAAATAGTGACGAGGGCCTGCTTCACTGAGGCGAGAGGCGAGCAGCGAAGCGCTGGCCTTTTTTATGTGAAGCGACAATTTATACAAAAAATAAAATATTATATATATATATATATATATATATATATATATATATATATATATAAAATTAAAAACTCAATAGCAATAATATATTAATAAATATATCAATTCAAAAATTAAAAACTCAATAGATAGTCATAGTAGATTCATAAACTAAAACAAGCAACATCTATATGCAATTAATTCTGCTCTATAAGACTAACTGAAAAAAGAGTAAAGTTTAGGTTTGATTTGATATATGAAGTAGCTCTCTGTCTGACTGCCTCTGCCCGTATCCGGGATTAAAAAAACAGAGCAAAAAAAAAAAAGAGAAGAAGAAAAAGGAAGGGAAGAAGAAAGAAATAAAGATAGAAAGAAAGCTAGCTCAAACCTCAAAGAACTCTCTACTGCTTGCTCGAACAATAGAGCCAAAAAAAAAAGGAAGAAAGAAAGAAGACTGAAGAAAGAAAAAAGAAAAAGAAACTGACAGCAATGGTCGAAGAAAAAATATGGACAGCAGAAACTAGAAGAAGAAGAAGAAATGGACAACATACGTGGGTTATGATGTCGCTGATGAACGAAGAAGAAGATGAAATCCCAAGCCCTAATATTTAGTTTATTGATCGAAAAAACAAATGGCGCTGATGGTTGTTGAAGGAGAAAGAAGTGAAAAACCCAAGCCCTAATTTGTATTATAATCAGTGTTTGGTCGCTGCCTTTTCTTTTTTACTTTTTTTTTTCAAAAAGTGCCGCTACACATCGCCTCGAGCATCGCAGCGCCTCTCACTACACAGGCAGAGGCGCTCGCCTTTCTGAAATCACCACGCAACATAGCAAAATGGCGCTGGCAGCTCGCTCGCATCGCCTCACGCTATTAGCGCTGAGGCGAGCGCTATTTACAACACTGGCCATAACTCTGCAAGCATATCACGCTATAAATCGTGTTTTAGTATATAGCGTGTTGTTATCTTACTTATCCCCTCTTTACTGATGCCAAAAAGGGGGAAAAAGGATATGTATATTTGTGCAGGTAGTGCAGGTACATCCATTGCAGGGGAAGTCGACTATAAATACTTCCCAACGCCACCTCTTGAGGGGGAGTCAGAGATGGTGCAGAAGCAGTCGACTAAAGGAAGCACCTATTGAGGGGGAGTCAACTGCACTCAGTGAGGGGGAGTAAAATACAGGGAAGTCAACTTATGTTTACATATATTATTTTGTCATTACCAAAAAGTGGGAGATTATTAGGTCTTAGTTTTAATAATGAAAAATAATATAATTGCTTTTGGTATAGGGACTCAAGGAAAGCATCCAAGATCGAAGAAATCAAAAGGAATGAATCAATCAACCAACTAAAGATCCGGTAAGGAAATCAATCAAGAGATTGATTGAAGCGGAAAAGAAGCATCGAAGATCTTGCAAGATGATCAATCAAGTTGCTATTTCTGGAAGGACCAATAATCAAAGAGTAAACCTGACGCTATCAAGACCAGTAGAAGGAAAGCTATTAAAGTCCTCTCATCAAGGAAGAGCAACGGCAAATAACCTTATTCTTGGAAAGAATCAATTTTTTTCCAAGTATCAAATCTCTTGGGTTGTCAAATCTCTTCAGCAACGGCCTCCTACAAAGTATTTATATACATCCTTAAGCCTTAGACAAATATACTTTGATCGAACCAAATACCCTCTCTTTGTTCTACTGCAAACAAACATTGTAGCTCTACTAGATCTACTGTGTAACAAGTTAGAGAAGAGAGAGGGAAAAATACTGATGAGGCATTGTATCAAAAAGAAACGAGTCACATAGAAACTGAGCCATGGGTGTAAACCACACCATTCACGTTGTACTCGAGAAACTCATTCACTGAAAGAGAACTCCCTTGCAACCCACGGGGACTGGACTAGGATTCACATTGAATCCGAACCAGTATAAAAATTTCAATGTCTTTAATTCCTGCATTTTATTTTTGCATCTTAAATTCTGCTCTTACTATTATCTCGTTATTATATCTAGTCGACTAATTAGAAAACTAGTCAACTTGCAGTGATTAAAATATAAAAATAAACAATTCACCCCCCTCTTGTACTTTCCATTAGCTCACTAGGATTATCTTGGAAACATGTCTTATTAGACAGAGAATCTAGTGATTAGTCCATGTGCGCCCAAGCTATCCCGGACAGGCCTGATATTTTTTAATAAATGCCTGATACAGAAATCAGGGTTACCAGTTCCCAATAAACTAGCAAAGCAGAATAAAAACCCTAAAAAGAAAATAAAAGATGATCTCTTTCATCTGCTGGCTTTACACTATGCTACGACAGTTGAAAAGTTCTAATCAATTCTTAGTTTTGATCATACAGAGATACTTACGGGCAATAGGATTTGGAGAAGATGGCGATCTTGTTAGAATATATGACATTTTGAACAAAAGCAGAAGGAGAACTAGAAGCTAGGGCTTCTGCTGGACCTTTCACCATCGCCATTACTCCAAATACAACGATCATCATAAGCAAATTACGCTTGAGCGCCATTTTCTCGTTTTCAACTTCACGAACAGTAAAGCGTTCGATGAACTGTTGAGTTTTCGAGAAAAAAGTGCGGAAGAGGGGCTTTTGAGCCTCAGCTGAAACCCGAAGACGGCGGATCTCGTCGGCGGTTTTCTCCACGCGGTTGCGGAACTGTTCCACGACGGAGATTTTGGTGAGGTCACGTGCTTTGGGAATGGGAAACTGGAAACCGGGTTTAGTAGGGAGTTTGTGACATTGTCTGAAGCACCGGTTTTCTATTTTGGTTAAACGAGCCGCCGGGTTGTTGTGAATCGTGACGGAGGAGTTGACTGCCATTTTTACTGTAAAGACCGGAAACCCGAGAACAACCGAAGATTAACTTTTGGGCCTTTAATTCGGACCTACAAAATGCTTTTTTACGATTTACTGAATTTTCGTTCGAGTGAATGAGCCCACTTATTAGTAATACAGGTTTTGGTACTGTATCTGGTATTAGTAACTCTTTCTCGGAAGTAGTAAATTATTACTGGGAGTATTAGTATTTTGCTACAAAAACGTGATAATTGAGACCACATTGTGTATACTTCATAACCAAACTTTACACCATAATAAATAGTTTGACTCGGAGATTAAATATCATATATAGCTTGGATGTAATGAATAATGATAAAGTACTGTATTTTTTGCAGTAAAATAAGCATTATGAGAACAAACAAACAAAAGAAGAGGATACCATGTTAGAAGGGTAACAAAAGCAGTATGAAACACATGAGGGAAAAAGTACATAAACAAATACAAGTTGTACTGGTGCGGGTTTTGAGTTTTAGCCCCAGTTTCAACCCACTAAATAAAGGCATTATTAGCCAATGAGTCCCCAAAAAGTTGTATGGGTCAAAATTAGATCAGAGAAATTCGACATGAGGTCGTGGTCGTGGTCGTGGTCGGACAGGCCAAGGTCGGACCGTCATCAATGGTCGTGGTCGGATAGGCCAAGATCGGACCGTCATCAATGGTCGTGGTCGGACAGGCCAAGGTCGGACCGTCATCAATGGTCGTGGTCGGACAGGCCAAGGACGGACCGTCATCAATGGTCGTGGTCGGATAGGCCAAGGTCGGACCGTCATCAAACATCTAGTTTGCTTTGGAAAACTCAAAAGGAATATTCTACCGAATATTCCCTGTAAATTATACCTTTTTTTAGGATTTTCTATGGATACCTCCCTTATAAACAGGAGGGGAGGACTTCCCAAAAAGGGGGCTCTCTCCCTCTCCCTCTCCCTCTTTCTAGAAAATATGTAAACACACCTCTCAAGAGAAATGAGAGGATATGTGATCCAATACCTTCATCAGATCCAAAAAGGGTCATGAGGTTCTTGTACTTGTCTATCATTCATCTTTATGAAAAGAAAGAAGATCCGTCTCACCGAAGATCGGGTGAACCTTTTCCTTTACTCATATCTTTGTTATTTAATGCATCTTTCTGTATGCCATTAGATCTGGTCATAATCGCCGTCAACATTTATGTTCGACTATGTCTTTTAATTCGTATTATTCATCTCGAATCTAGAGTTAATTACTCTTAACTAGGATTTACCCCTTCATATTTTTCGATTGATTTGCTCGGAAAGTATTTGATAATTTTCTAGTCAAACAAAAGTGACTAATAAGAAACTTTAACCAAAATGTGCAATTTTCGGAGCAAAATTTCTTGGATGTACATGTTTTAGTAAAATTCCAAGAAATGTTTCTATCCATCCTGTTTTTTTAGACTCATGTTTTAAAGATCTTTCCTAACAGGATACTCCAACTATGATAAATATCCACTCGCACTAATAGCATGTTTGGTCAATCTTCTCCAAGTTGAAAAGTATTTTTTTTCCAAAAAAAAAAAAAAATTTTTCAAAGTTGAAGAGTTTGGCCAAGCTTTTAGAAAGAAAAAAAAAAAGTGCTTTTGAGGAGAAGAAAAAGTAGTTTTGGAGAAGCAGAAAAAAGTAGCTTCTTCCCAAAGCACTTTTGAGAAATATACACTTAGAAGTACTTTTTAAAAGCTTGGTCAAACACAAATTATTGCTTAGAAGTGCTTTTCAAATCAATTAGTCAAACACAAACAACTTTTCACCAAAAATACTTTTAAAAAAACACTTTTGAAAAAAAAAAAAAACTTCTCAAAATAAACTGCTTTTTTCCAACTTGACCAAACAGGCTTCAGGCTATAAGTGTGTATAACAAATTGATGAACTTTAGATTATCTCTGTGCTATGGCGGTAAAAGCTAGAATGAGGAAGATACAGACGAGAGCAAAATGAGCCGTTATGCTCTATTTCCACTAACTCAACTAACAAATAGAATGTACTGTACATTTTATACTAATTCAACTACTTAACCACCTAATTACTTCTAACTGCCACTAATCACAATACTAACTTATTACATATAATTAGCTGTACACTGCTTGATTCAACACAAATCAACTAATTTAAATTTGATAGTTAAAAATTAAAATAAGAAATGAGTGTATGAAAAATACACATCTTACATTTTTGATATAGTGTAAATATCAAGCAAATTTTTGTCGTACAACATACAATTATTCGGATTAATTTCTTCAACCCACATGAGAGATAACACGAAAATATAAAGCAATCTATTCTGTTTATTTCGGAAACTTGAAAATTTTCTGTAAAAACTGACCTTCCACTTTACCTTTGCCTTGGCTTTATTAAACTACATCAAATTCTAATCTTGGTTACACAAATTTTCAGGATCATTAATAATTTCAATTTATTTTCGTATCTTGCTTCCAGTATTTGCCAAAACTAGTTTCCAAACCACAGGATAAAATCAGGAAATTAGAGCAGATAACAACTTGTGATCAGTAAGGGGAGAGAGTTGTTATTCTCCAGAGCACAAGGTGAAGTTTACAAAGTTTTCACTTTGTGTACGGTATCTGCCTGCTTGTAAATCTGTCATTTAATGAAGATAGCAAACAACAATTTATATGAATTGAGCTGATTATACAAATTCTAGTTTCCATATCAAACCTAAGAAGGCTTAACATCAGGATTGCTCTTGTAAAGCTTATTGTATTCCTCCAGCTCTTCGTAATACATGTCCCACACGCATGGAACACATCCATTGCCGCAACAATCGCCCGGCAACGGCTTCTCCGGCGGCGGCGGAATGGTAACCTTTGATTTTTCCTGATTCTTCTCCGACTCCGTTTTATTATTCATCGTTGACTCTATAGTGCTCTTATTAATCATTGTTGACTCGATTGAGCTCTTTTTATTCGCTTCCTCGGCCATCGAACTTTTGAGTGCAGCGATATTACGGCCCAATAGAAATTTAGGATGACTGAATCGGATCAGATTGACAGTTGAGATTCGTCCAAAGGTCAGATCTGTTATAGGCATGAGAAACGCAGAGGCGCGTTGGACATTTTCCGGCCGCCGATGGCGAAGATTGGTTGTTGAAGGTGTCTTTTTGGACAAAGTGAGGCCAGGAAGGGACATTCTCATATAACCAATCTGTGGACACCTTTTTGAGCCAATCACGTGTTGACTAATGTGTATGATTTTTTTAAGTAGTTTAGTAAAACAAAGGCTAATTTCTGGCTGCGGACAACTTTATTCTCCTTTTTTTCTTTTTCTTTTTCCAAATACATAAGAGATTTTGGATGATTCAATTTTAAATTTTTATATTATTTTTAATGACATACTTTTGTGTTCACAAAAGAAAATTGTTAGAATTGTAAGTTCCAATAGTTTTTCGTTCGTGCTTAAACTTATTGTTCAATCAAACTAGTTACATAAATTGAAATAGAGTGGAATATCTAACACTAAGGTATCTCCTCTAGGTTACAATGTTTTGTAGCAATTCATAGCATTGTATTAACGGAAAAGGGCCAACAATACCACTAACATATTGAGAATGACTTAAAATACCCTTTGTTAACCTATTGATCCGCAAATGTACCTAACGTTGTTTTTTGGCTCAAACTTACTCCTATATCTAACAGAACTAACCTGGTCAATTTTTTGACTTTAACTTCGCCATGTGACATTTTCTTAACCTGCCATGTATTAATTGTATTAAATAAAATCCAACTGCATCTTTTAAAATACCCAACGACCCTGACCCGCTCCTATATATTTGGACGGTCAGCTATAAATAATTATATTCGCTAGTTAAATATATAAAAAGATATACATTGATTATATATAAAAATATGTATATTATACATTAATATTTTAATATACATTTTACATGATATTATTTTTAGGAGAAATTATACAGTATAGTTTTCCCTATTAGGACATCGTAAAACAGAAAGATACTATAGGTTGAATGGTTCCAAGCAGTAAGCCGGCCACAGATTACAAACAAAATTTAACTCAAAACAAGAAAAGAAGAAGGTATTTTTGTATTTGTTTTTATAGTTTCACAATATTTGTCGCCATAGGCCTGTGATTAAGGAACTACAGCTTTCTGGTACTGAAAAAAGATCCTGCAAGATGCATAACACTTGAGATAAAATGTAGAATGCTTTTTTCCTTTATTTTTTAATTATCCACAACAAGTAGAATCTACACCGTATAATTTCTCCTAAAATTAATATCATGTAAAATATATATTAAAATATTAATGTATATTATACCTATTTTTATATATAATTATTGTATATTTTTTTATATATTTAACTAGCGAATATAATTATTTTTATCCGACCGTCCAAATATGTAGGAGCGGGTCAGGGTCGTTGGGTATTTTAAAAGATACAGTTGGATTTTATTTAATACAAATAATACACATGGCGGGTCAAGAAAATGCCACATGGCGAAGTTAAAGTCAAAAAATTGACCAGATTAGTTCTGTTAGATACAGGGGCAAGTTTGATCCCACAAACAAATGTTAGGGACATTTGTGGACCAATAAGTTAACGGAGGGTATTTTTAAGCCATTTTAAATACGTTAGAGGTATTGTTGGCCCTTTTCCGTTGTACTAAATATTACTACATTTTAGTTAAATAATCTAATACCATCCATGGTTTAGAATATGGTACATATTATTATTTGAGTAGTCAAATAATCTTTTTTTGTTATAATTCTTTCAAATACTTAATTACAGATGATGTTTTCTTTGTCCCAGTAAGTTTTTTAATATGTGAATTTTATTTTATATGACGAAAAAATTATTTTAAACAAAACTAAGACATACTTATCTAAATTCATAATAAGAATTGAATTGTGTTGACTCATCATCGTAAAAATAGAACAGGCCAGTCAGTTTTCGGATTGGTCATTCAAAAATAGCTATCGTTTGTAAAGTCATTGAGAAATAGCCACTATTTTGCTGCAACACGAAAAGTTCCAGCATAATATACAGGAGATCGGTGCACCTGTATATGAACTTCCAGCATATTAGGCTGGAACTCCAACACACGAAAAGTTCAAGTATAA